AATGACATGAGACAAAGTATATGTGAACTGCTGTATGAAAAGTGAATTTACTCTGTAAATCTTCACCCAAATCCTAATAAAAAAAAAAAAAAAAAAAAAAAGATTATGTGTCAACGTGGCTGGCACCTGGATGAAATTATGCTCCATGGTGAGATCGGTAATCAATTCCAGGGTGGAATCTATTGGAGCAACAGAGTAGCTGCCTTAGGGATGTGATCTGCTTCCAGGATATAAGGAGAATCACTGCAGCTTTTTGACACACTTGGACCCTGCATGTAGCCAAGTCTTCATTTAGCAGCCTGCCATATTTCCTGCCAATCTTGGGACTGTCTCTGGACTTGAATTACTGGCTTGCCATGTTGTTTGGTAACATTGGAACTGTGCCATTTTCATTTGTCAACCTTGGGCTTGTCAGCCTCAGCAGCCAGCAGCTGCCTGAATGAAGAAATACCTCTAGCTCCAGCGGGCTGGGAGCAAGAGGCAGAGCTGAAGCCCAAGGTCAAGGGCTTTTCACCCAGCCCCTGGAACCTGGCCCTTTGAACTCAGTCTTCTAACCTCTAAAACTTTGCATAGAATGAACTCCTATTTGTTAAAGCCATTCCACCTGTGGTATTTCTGCTGGAGTGGCATGAAGTAACCAAAACATTGGAAGTCTCGTCTCATCCTTCCCACCTCTGATCATTCTGAGATTTCCCAATAGGATCAACACATCAGTCACTCAAGTGGCTTCAATGTGTGACCCTCAAAGTTGAGGGAAAACAGGAAATCTGGATTCCCTGTCCCCAGGATGTAGGCCCTGCTCTCTACCATGAGAAGGAGGTCTGGACCATGCCACAGATCCTATGCCAAGACTCTGCAGACACACACTCACAAGGGGTGCTCCACCCCTAATGCCTTAACTGAGAAGCACTCATACACTTCTAACAGGTAAACTGCTACCAGTGAAGACTTCATTCACACTGTTATTTTCAGAGAAGTCAACCCCTTTGTAATATAAATCCAGATACTGCAAACTAAGCCAGGATCACGCATAGCTGAGCATTTTCTTGCAAAGACCAAATCACATGGTCATATATGGTATTTACCTTCACTTAGTTTAGAGGAGGCACCAAAACATCCCAGAAAAATATTAAACATCATCTGAAAAGCTGGTGTTTGGGTTATGGTGATCAACACAATAATTTTTTTTTTTTTAAATAAGATGTGTCTAAAGTTTTATGCCTATTTGATTTGTGGCTAAAATGCTAAAAATTGTTTAAGAGACAAATGGAAAAAAAGCTAAAAGATCATTATAACAAAAATATTTTAAAAGTCAATGTTACCTGATCAAGATTTTTGAAAAGGAGAATATCTTTGCAAGCTTCCTGAAGTCTGCATCTCTGTTCATCAGTTTTGGGATGAATCACCTGTCAATCCAAATAAAACCAAGGACATTTTCTTATTCCATTTTAAAATCACTCACTTATAAATTGGTATATTTCTTTCTCTGAACAAGTGGGAAAAATAAAAGCAGTTTTTACTATAATTTTAATTCTACACAAATCTCAAGCAATGCCTTGAACATTGAAGGGCAGTATGATATGAGGGTGAAGAACACCAATCCAGCAATCACCTGCTATGTGGCTGACAGCGGGTCAGCTACCCCATGGGAGCCTCTGGGATCTCATGGATAAAACAAGGGTGATGAATTTGTTCAGTCAACAAATATTAAGCATCTACTAGGTCATGGGCACTGTTATAGCTCTGGGAATACAGCTGCAAATCCAGAGACAAAAAATACTTGCCTTCATATTGAATAAATATAAAGTATGCTGGAGAGTAATATAAGAAGAGTGTGTGTGTGTGTGTGTGTGTGTGTGTGTCTATGTGAGGCCTCCCTGAAAAGGTGACATTTATATAGAAATCTGAAGTGAGGATGACCAAAGGAGTAAATCTACTAGAGGGAGAGCACTTTAAGAAGAGGAAAGAGCAAATAAAAACAGGTTTTATGGTGGGAGCCAGAGTAGCATAGTTTCAAAATATTCAAGAGGCCACTGTGGCTGGTGCAGAGTGAGGGGAAGAGATCAGGCGGAGACAAAGTTGGGGGGGTAGGGGTGGTAATCAAATCACAGAAGGCATTGTAAGTCATGGAAGGACTGGGACTTTTCTCTAGTGACATGGGGGCCATTTGAGGGCTTTAACAGAGGAAAGAAAGGGACCTGGCTAATGTTTTAAGAGGATCACACTGGCTGCTGAGTGAAGAACAGCCTGGAGAGAGGCACAAGGGGAAGGTAGGAGGCACCTGTGATATAGATAATTCCAGGGACATATGGTGGTAGTTTGGACCAGGGTCATTGCCATGGAGGTGTTGAGAAGTAGCAGAATTCTGGATGTGTATTGAAAATAGAGCCCATTGGATTTGCTGAAAAACTGGATGTGGGTATTAAAGAACAAGAGAGTTGAGTGTGACCCCAAAGTTTTGGATCTGTGCAAATGAAAGGATGGAGCTGTCATGAACTGAGCTGGGGATGACTGTTGGGGGAAAAGAATCCTTAAAGGGAAATAATCAAGAGCTCACGTTAAGTCTGAGTTGCCTATTGACATCTAAGTAGAGATAGTGAGTAATAAGTGGTACTTATGAATTAATTGTCATGAGGATTAAATGAGTTAACATGCAGAGTGTTTAGAACAGTTAGTAGGTGCTCAAAACTATTATTACTCCTATTGTTATAAATAGGCAATGTTTATTGAATTAGAAAAAAATAATTATCATCAAATATTGTCATAATTGAGAGACCTATCAAGCTTCTTCCTAAGTTTCACCATTACCCTGAAAAAAGATAAATTATTTAATCTGGTAGTGTAGTGCCTAAGGCTGCTAACCAAAAGGCTGGCGGTTCAAACCCACCAGCCACTCCTCGGAAGGAAGGTTGGGCAATCTACTTCTGTAGTGATACTACCTCAGAAACCCAAGGAGGCGTCACTAAGAGTCAGGTCCAACTTGACGGCACATTAACAACAACAACCAACATGTCAAAAATGTTAAGTATTTCAAATTCAATAGAAAAAATTAGCAAAAACTGTTTTAACTTTTAAAAGTCATCAAGAATTTTATAATAGAACAAAAAAAAATGTCAATCTACATATCTATTATATTCACACAATGGTAACATTATTAGAATGCCTCAGAAATCTTTCATAAGCTACTCTTTTAAAATTATTTTCAAAATACTCTATAAAATGGACCTCACACAAATACCATTTTATGTCAGTAATCCTAGACCTATCCCATCATTTTCAATGGCTGCAGAGTCTCTGGATTTGAATGTACTATAATTTGACCCCTGTGGTTTAATCTCTACTTGGGATCATTCAGGCTGTTTCTATTTTTCACTATTACAACATTGCAATGATCCCTGTTTATACATCCTTGGGAAGGATCCAAATATTAGGAATGAATTTTCATTCAAAGAACTGCTGAGTCAGTTGGCTTCACTATCTTTAAGGTTTCTCATGGCTACAGCTATGCAATTCTTCTCACCATGCCATCAACAAGTGCTGCTTTCATTCTTCTTAATATTTGTCAATCTGTCCCATAGAAAATGGCATCTCGTTGATATTTTAATTTGTATTTATTTGATTATCAGCCTGATTAGACTTTGATGTGGGGGAGGGAACGAGTCAGTGGGGACTAATACCTTTGTTGTAGTTCTTACCCTTGGATCAGTGTCTTCCTCTTCCTCATCAGGGTTGTAGGATTCAGCACAGACTAAATTGAGAGAAAGAGGAAAATGTATTAAACAGATGTGTGCTTTTTACTGGAAAAACAGGAAGTGAACACAATTTCCTTTTAGTCACTATTTTATACAAAAAGCTGTTGTGATCTTTTTTATCCTTTTTTCAATGAACAGATACATTAAATACCCACCAGGGCCAGGCATTCTGTTAAGTGCTGAAAACCCAGCTTTCTAGGGATTGGTAGTCCCAAATGGGAGAGATAATGAAGTGTATCCTACTAAATTCTATGGTAGTGGCAAGGACAAACAAGTGGTGTTGCCTCTGCTGAGTTACAAGGGAAGAGGTCAAAAACATTTAAGTACAATACATGTAACATAACCAAAGTGATACGGATCAGTTAAAATAGCTCAAAGTCATTATGTGCACATATAACTTAAAAATAAAAATGAATTTAAAGACAAAAAAATATTTTGGGTCAGTCTCTGTTCTGGGTACATTATAACGTAAGAGATCTAAAGCTAACTTGATTTTCTTTGTAAGTATTCTGTGTTTGTGCTAGGAGCCTGCAGGACTTGTCTTTCTGCCTACAATTCAAACATTTCAAAAATATTGATTTCATCATTATTTACAATAGCAAAATATCAGAAATTACATAAATACACATTTGAATGATGCAACTATAAGAAAGAATGATAAAGAGCTAAAAGAAAAAAGGTAAGGTGTACAAGAGTACATATAGTATGCTATCCTTTCCATACAAAAGGGCTTCCATGAGAAAAAAGAATGAAAGAAAAATAAATATATATATGCATATTTTTCCAAAAGGAAACAAGAAGGATAAATCAGAAAGTAATGAAATTGTTTTCCTAGAGTGTAGGTAAAAACAAGAAAGAAGGGACCTCTCTCTCACTGCCATTGAGTCGAATCTGACTCGTAGCATTCCCCTCCTTGGGTTTCCGAGGTGGTATCACTACAGAAGTAGATTGCCCAACCTTCCTTCTGAGGAGTGGGTAGTGAGTTTGAACTGCCAGCCTTCTGGTTAGCAGTCAAGTGCCTTAGGCACTATGCCACCGAGCTCCTAAAGAAGGGATAGTGAACTTAAATCACACTTCTCTGAGAAACTCTCTTACAGTTTTGATGTTTAAAAAACCCATTGCCGTTGAGGCATTTCTGACTCACAGCAATCCTATAGGCAGAGTAGACCTGCCCCATAGGGTTTCCAAGGCTGTAAGCTTTACAGAGGCAGAATGTCACAACTTTCTCCTGCAGAGCAGCTGGTGGGTTTGAGCCACCAACCTTTTGGTTAGCAATCTAGCACTTAACCACTGTACCCACCTGAGCTCTTTTTTGATGTTTTACAAATTTAAAAATTAAACGAAACTGATAAGGAAAGGAAGATCGTAAAATTGAATACGAAGAGAAACAAGTAAACCTAACCATGCATCAGACTGGCAATGGTAACATAACCACAAAGAAGGAAAGGAGAACTATTCCAAGTAGCTTCTAAACATAGTACTCAGACTATCCACTATCAATGGGATATAGTCCAAGGACAAAAAAGAACTGCTGCTGGTAGCAATACTGGTACAGCAATTCCAAAACTCTCTTGTGCATATTATAGTAGTGAGTAAATAAGTACACATGTTTTTGGGACCCAAGCTTCTTACTAGGGAGAAGGTGGATACAAAGATGGAACGGAAAAAGGATTAGAATTAGAAGTGTCAATACAAGTCTTGATTTTTAAATCTTACCCTTAGGTAATAGTGGCAAAAGACAATGAATTGTCCAGTGAATAAAAAGAATTTTGCATCCACTGGTAAAACGGTTTTGTCAGGAATGATCACTGGTGTTACCCAGAAAGTTGCAAACTTGTTCCTTCTTCACAATACAGGTCATTTCAGCTTGGGGAAAGTTTTCTTCTAATAAACACTCGATTATTTGTGTTAGCTATGTGACCTGGGGTGATTTACTGCAACTCTTCATCCTCTCTTCTGCATAACAGGGCTAACAGTAGTGGGTACCCTCTGAGAACTGACGTAAGAATTCAAGCAGACAATGTGCCTGGCATGCAATAAATGCCAACTTCTCCAACTATTACTACTATTACTTCTGTTTTATCTGTTCTGGTTTTCAGAAATATTAATTATTGTTACCTCTGTCTCAGCTCTTTCTGTTCTCTATGTCAGCTCTTCCAATGATTACCTTTTCTACAAGACTGCCTTCCATTACAGTTTTGCCCTTAACAATTGTGCTTTTCATTGCCTTGTTTATGTATTTAATTGCTGCTGCTCACTGTTTTCAGTTTCCTTACAATCTTTCCTTACCATACCACCCATTCCCTTTTTCATCTCAGTCTATTATGTCCTTTGGCTTTTCACTTCCACTTTATAAAGTGGTAAAGTGGATCAATTCTTGCACTCTACTGAGCTTTCTGCAGTGGACCTTTCTAGTCTTTATTACTCTTATATATCCTTAATCTGCCAAATTCACTCATAGGCCCTGTGATGTTTCTTAAGAGTTTCTTTCTTACTTATCCTAGAATTTAGGAATGATATATTCAGACCCAGTATTTCTTAGCAGACCAAGAATATTAATGGTTCTTGATCCTACTTTCAACTCATTTGTGTGTATGGCCAAAAGACCCCAAATATGTACAACTAGGGGACAAGCTGATACATACCATTCCCAATTTAACTCTCAGTTTCTTCAAGGCCATTTATTCACTGCAGCCCTGATCTAGCCACATTCCAGCTTCCCCTTCCTCGCTGATTATCTGAACTAATACATTACCTGAGAAATGCTGATTTCTAGCATGTCCTGCAGACAAGACTTTCCCTTCCCAATCCCAATCTGTTACACTCAATTTGTGTGGGCCACTCCTCCTGTGCTATAATGCCATCAATACTCTGCTTGCCCAATAGGGACCCAGTGTCTTTAAACAGATAGAGAAAAAGTAGGGGCAGGTAAGAGGGCAGACACCATTCAAGTCCCTGAAATACCATTAGGTGATGTTCTGCTCAGCCACTGGCTAGTGTAGGGTTTGGGTCGCTGAGCACAAAAGTGACAATGTGCTATAGGGCCAAATCACTCCTGTTTCCCCAAGATGTATGTTTATATCAGTTCTGCCCTTAGGTTCAAGGAAGATACCTTCCTGAGTTCCCAGCTATTTTTGCTGCTACGTTTTGCATCTTCATAGGTATTCTGGTAGGAGACTGGGGAAACTATTGAGTTTAGCTAACCAGATACCATGTTAAACTGTAAGTAGCTTGCTTCTTGGTTCTTTGCACTCTTGATTTTGATTAACATTATCATTGTCAGCTCAGTTTTCTAAACTAGATATTTGGAATTAATCACTAACTTCCTTCTTTCACCTCTTATCCAACTGAATACATCAAATTTTGCTTCAGAAATACCCACATACAGAATTGTTATGGACTGGACTGTGCTCTCCCTTAAAATATGTGTTGAAATCCTAGCCTCTATCTGTTGAATATAATCCCATTTGGGAATAGAATTTTCTTTGTTATGTTAGTGAGATCATAAGGTGTGTTTTAAACCCCAATTACTTTTGAGATATAAAAATAACAGATTAGGCACAGAGACAAGAAATCTTAAAAGAAGAAGGATAGATGCCATGAGGAAATCACCAAGGAACCTAAAGATGCCAAGAATAATACTAAAGATGATGAGACAAGGATTTCTACCTGGAGTGAACAAAGAACTGGTACCCTGAATTAGGACTTCTAGCCTCCCAAACTGTGAGAAAATAAATTTTCATTCATTAAAGCTACACACTTGTGGTGTTCCTATACAGAAGTACTAAGAAACTAAGACAGTGATCTATATCCAGTCTATTCCAATTGTTATTCCTTGGTCCAGGACTTCAAAGTGTCTACTTAAGAGTAAACCATTTAAAAAGCCTTCACTTTGGGAGATAGATGGGTATATGGGAATTGTTATGTTTTCTTCACTTTTGTGTATGTATGAAAAGTCTCATTTAAAAAGTAAAAAAAAAAAAAAAGCCTTAAATGATGAAACCATAGAATTTTACTGATAATGACACTTACAGGTGTTTTTACACAAATAACATGAGCCTTCTATGTTTGTTTACCAACCTCTCCCTAAAGCTTAAGATCTGTGCAATCCCCTACACAGTCTCGAGAACAACAATGTATATCAGGAGATGCTTGAGAACTACTGAAAGTGCAGACCGAAGAGCAACACAGCCACTTGTTAGAGGGAATTTATTTTTGCTTCAGTTCTCCAGCAGATGTCACTAGTCAGCAATATGAAGTGGTCCCAAAAGGCAAAACAGAATCAAGCACAATTTCTCCTTCCCAATTCTAATTGGTGCTTCCTTCATCCAGAAATGTGAATCATTAAAATGTGCTCGTGAGAAAAATCCTTTCATTCTTATGAAATATAAATAAATAAATGCATACAAATGTCCAGGAAAATTTTCCATGAAAAATTTCAAAAGGTTAAAAATCATGATAGAAAATTTACTTGAAAAAAATCTAGACCATGGTGACATTGAGGAAGACGAAGACATAGAGAGGTACATAGGAGGTACAGGCAACAAAGATGAACCCTTCTGCACATTCAGTACTGCGTTGTCAGTGAAGGAAAACATGGGTATACACATGGATAGATGGGTGGACAGGCTGAACTATTAGGTATATCTATGCAGAGGGAAGTGTACCCAAAACCATGTATAGAGTTGGCAGACAATGGTTCTACAAGTGTATTTATATGTTCTGTAAGAATTCCCAGGTGTATAGAAGAGCTGACTAGGGACAAGGATGTAGTCACCACTTGGTCGTAGCCAGCTACCCAGAGGGAGTGAGTAGTTGAAACAGTGGGCCTGGGACCATAGTTGCAGGGAACATCAAGCTCAATTAGCATAACATACTACACAAAACATTGTTCCACCTCTCCTACTTTGGCAAGTAGCAACTGGGATCTTAAAATCTTGCAAGCAGCCATCTAGATGTAATGATGGGTCTCTCCTTGTCCAGAGCAAAGAAGAATGAAGAAAACCAAAGATGCATGGAAACAATTAGCCTCCATGAATAATGGTACACCATGCAATCTTCAGGCTACATGACTAAGAGACCAGAAGAACTAGATGGTGCCTGGCTATCACTATCAACCACTTGGAGGGGGATCTATGTAAATCATTTGGAAAAAAAAAAGGGGAACCAGGTTTGCTGGTCTGATAGAGCATGGTGGAACCACTGAGACTATGGCCCCTAGCTGCCCTTCAGGTCTGGAATTGCACCCACTCCTGGGGCCTTCCAGCCAAACAAAAGACAGGCATATGAGGTGAACATTTACCTGAGGAAGAGACACTCCTTGGAGAGAACAATCATGGGAGAAATAGGGCTATTTATGCACAGGGAGACAGCTCAGGGAAGAGGTAAACTATTGGGAGGAAGTGGGAGGGGAGCTGTTGCATTGGGGTAAACTGTCAATGTCATGAGACAAAGTGTATATGAACTGCTGTATGAAAAGTGAATTTGCTCTGTACACTTTCACACAAATCACACACACACACACACACAAATCTAGAGCATAACAGATAAATGAGCAAAATATCATCAAATTAGTCTCACAGAAGAGAGTACAAATAGAGTTCCCGTATTTGGAAAACATTCATTTTTATTAATAATCAAAGGAATGCCAAATAAAACAATCAGAATTACTATTCCTAATGCATTTCCTGAATTGAAGGAGTGGTCGCCTTCCATATTGCTGAGGTGATGGTAGAAAAGAGGCCTGTGCAGGGTGCCTTTCTCCCAGAGACCCATCCTGTAGACTATCTCTACAAAGCAACACAGAGAAAAGGCCAAGGCAATGCTCAGTCTCTGACCAGAGAATTCCACTCCCAAGACTGTAACTAAAGAAATAGTTTTAGTGGCTCAAAAAGCTAGATGAAAGAAGTTAAAAGCAACATAACCTAAAATACAAAAAAAAAAAAAAAAAGAGATGGAAGAGCAAAAATAAAAATGTCCAGTATCAGAGAAAGCAGTTTTCAGAAACCATTATTATGAATATGAAAAAAATATTAATGACATAGATTCAATATATACATACATATTCAGAACTTAGAAACAAAAATCAAATAGAGGAACAACAGGTATTTTACTTTTAGCATAATGTTCTGTAATGCTGTTAACTTATCTTTTTATTTAAAAGATCAGTTTGTTTTTATTTTAAGATAACTTATCTAAAAATAGCATTTTAGTCGTATGTAAGGGAAGAGATCACATACCTGATACTCGCCTATTAAATCTGGTAGGAGCTGGAACTGCAAAACAAAGTAGTAATATTTAATCAACATCATGTCACATGACACCATTTTTGCCCTCCCTTTTACAAAGACTTTTGACAACAGAATTAAAGACCTCAATATCAAGTAGTGGGTCAGTTCATATTCTTTCCTAAATCACTGTTCAACATGATCATATAAAGGCAATATAGAAAAGAAAATATTTCTTTGAAAACAAGGTCTCAATAATTTCAACATACTTAAGATGTCAAATTTATTTCTGCTCACATCCATGTTCCATCTAATTTGTATCATACCAAATAAGAAAAAAAAAAAAAAAAAAACCCTCATTGCCATCAAGTTGGATCCAACTCATAGTGATCCCTCCTTGGGTTTCCAAGGCATTATCACTACAGAAGTAGATTGCCCAACTTTCCTTCTGAGGAGTGACTGGTGGATTTGAACCACCAGCCTTCTGGTTAACAGTCAAATGCCTTAGGCACTACACCACCAGAACTCCCATACCAAATAAGAAGTCTAACAAATTTATTGTTAACTTTAAGATAAACAGTTGCTAAATATTTTTCTTTAATATTCTTTAAAGATAATCTCCAGATCTCATAGATAATATCATTTAAATTTCATTTTAAATAATTTAATGAGGATTACAGGAAAACGGAAGTCCCTGGATGGTGCAAAAGGTGCTCTGGCAGCACAGTGGTTAAGGCATAACCTGCTAACCAAAAGGTCAGCAGTTCAAACCCACCAGCCACTCTGTGGGAGAAAGATAAGATGGTCTGTTTCTGTAAAGACTTACAGCCTCGGAAACCCTATGGGGGCAGTTCTATTCTGTCCTACAGGGTCACTATGAGTTAGAAAGGACTCGATGGTAGTGGGTTTGGTTTGGGTTTGGGTGGAGATCTATTGTCCCCTAAAATCAGCCACTGAAAAGCCCATGGCACTCAGTTCTACTCTGATACATGTAGGGTCAACATACATTGAAGTCAGCAGTAACTGGTATGGTATGGTACACTAAAATGGAAAATACAGCAATCATTAAGTAATACTTCCCTATGTGGGTGGGTTTTCTCCTACCCATGTCAGTCTATTAGTGAAAAAAAGAAGTAGCATGCCTTTACATTAAAAATAACTTTTTTTCTTTGCTAAAGTTTTTCCACTTTTCACATATCATGTCTTATATTTGAAGGTTATATGAATTGTTACTAATAAATTATATCAGCTGAATAAAGTTTTACCGTCTAAATGTATTCTGATTATTTCTATTAAAAAAATACATCAAATACGCTTTTCTATCCCCCAAAAAAGAGAAACTTGAGGATTAGTGAAAAATTGGAGATGGCTCAATTTGGCTCAAGCCAAATTCAATAAAGGCCTCTGAAACAAAAAATAGGCCCAGGAGGGAGGTAAATGCTCATTTATCTTAATAAGAGTAGAATTAACAATTTGCATAACATTTGTTGTCCTTGTTATGTGCCATCTAGTTGGACCTGACTCATAGTGGCCCCTCTTTGGGTTTCCAAGGCAGTATCACTATGGAAGTAAATTGCCCAACCTTCCTTCCAAGGAGTGGCTGGTGGGTTTGAACCACCAGCCTTCTTGTTAGCAGTCAAGTGCCTTACGCACTATGCTACCAGAGCTCCCTTGCATAACATAGGGTTTGTAAAAATCTTGCTACTGGAAGAAATAGGCAAAAATTGAAAAGAAAATCAGTCATTACTAACAAAAAGGACATTCAACTGTTTCTTACTACTTCTCTAGTTGAAAAGGTGGTTGTTGCTGTGTGCCATCAAGTTGATTCAAACTCACAGAGACCATACAGAACAGAGGAGAACTGCCCCACAGGGTTTCCAAGGCTATGAGTCAGGTTTGACTCGATGGCACATAACAACAACAACAATCTTTACAGGAGAAGACCACCAGGTCTTTTCCCCAGAGGAGCAGCTGGTAGGTTCTAACTGCAGACTTTTTGGTTAGAAGTGAGTTAACCGTTGCACACCAGGGTTTGTGAGCGAAAGGGTTGTTGTTGTTGTTGTTATGTGCTGTCAAGTCGGACCCGACTCATAGCGACCTCTCCTTGGGTTTCCGAGGCAGTATCACTACGGAAGTAGATTGCCCCATCTTCCTTCTGAGGAGTGGCTGATGGGTTTGAACCGCCAGCCTTCTGGTTAGCAGTCAAGTGCCTCAGGTACTATGCTACCAGAGCTTCTGAGTGAAAGGGTAGATCAGTCAAAATAAATCTACCTACTAGCAAAGCAAGACAATCAATTCAGTCCACAAATAGATTTTAAGTGCCTAAAAACAGTGCCATGCACTGTTCTAGACAATTTGGGAGATAACTGGTGAACAAAATGAAGACCTATGATTTCATGGAGCTTGAATTCTAGATTGAGAGGAATGGGAGACAGTTTCCTTTGATCTTTTGAAACATATGGGCCTATCCTCACTCAGGATGGCAGATGAAATGCAAACCAGTTTAAGTCCTCAACCCAGGCTCCATGGATTTTCACAGTTAAGGCCCTATTCAACAGGGGTGCACAACCCAAAATTACAAAACACACTATGAAACAATTTAGTGACAGTGATATCAGAGAACACTTCAAACAAAGGACGGGATATCAAGATCACAAAACTATTATAAAGCACTCAGCTGCTAACCAGAAAGTCAGCAGTTTGAACCCACCAGCAGCTTTGCAGGAGAAAGATATGGCAGTCTGCTTCTGTAAAGATTTATGGCCTTGGAAACCCTATGGGCAATTCTACTCTGTCCTACAAGGTCACTGTGAGTTGGAATATAGTCAACATTGGTAGGCTTTGGATGTGGCACTTGAAATTATTAAAGACAGAAGGAATCAAAAGCATCAATAAAAGTATAAGATACAACCAAAAACACAAGAGATTTTTTTTCCTTTTTTAAAAAGAACTTCTAGGGGGCAAGATGGTGGACTAGGCAGAAGGACTGCATAGACCCTCTTCAACAAAGAAAAGGGAAACCAATTAACACAGACACAGAAGATAATCTTGGAC